AAAGTAGGTTTGTTTCCATCTTGGTTAGGTTCTGAATGAACTTTAAACAATGTTTCATTTCTATATGTTTTCTTGAAATTTAACCTTTTATTTTCACCGAGTTCATCCGAAGATTGAACGTTAAATGCTCGTAAGTAAAAAGGGTTGTTGTATTTGTGTACATTTTCTTTCAGTGCTTCCATTCTATGCTGAATATTTTCATCTGGTGTTGGAGTCTTTTGTATGTCGGCAAACATTTTTCGATATTCTTCTACTATGTCAGCCGAATTTTTTTTAGACTCTTGGAAATATTCCATATTCTCCGCATACTCTTGTTGAGGGTCAAGATTTTTCGGCTGTTCCAAATCTTCATCTAGTTCTGTGAAGTTAGTTTCCAAAGGAGTGACTTGTTCGTTTCCTTCAGGCTCTTCTAGCTGTTGTTGCTGAACTATTTCTTCCATGTCTGGTTGTATCTGAACTAGTTCTTCCTGTGGAGTTTCTTGTACCTCATCTGCTGGCATTTCATATATTCCGAGACCGTTTTCAACAATTTCCCTATCTACGTCATCCGCATTCATAAGCTTTTGTTCTTTCGTTCCGTCTCTATTTTTTACGCGTTTCATGACGAAAGTTGAATTGTCATTTAGCTCTGACATCAAATATCTCGGAGTAAATTCATCCATGTCATTTGGATGATATGCTATTAAATCATATCCCTTAGCGAGCTTGTATTTTCCAGGTTTGAGATTATATCCGTTTTGGTGCTGAGCCATAAAGCTAAATAGGTTCGGGTCAGTATTTCCATCCTTGAACTTTCCAATAGCTTCTTTATATCTGTCACTAAAGTCAATACTATCTGGGAAACCACACTCTTCTTTAAGCATTTTTAAGAATTCTTGGTTTCCTTGTTCTCTACTTCTTTTATGTCCTTGCTCTGTTTGTGGTTGTTGTTGTGCAGGGTTTTGAACTGTTGGTTGTGCTGGATTTTGAACTGTTGGTTGTTGTGTTGGTTGTTGTTGTTGTGTTGTGCAGGGTTTTGAACTGTTGGTTGTTGTGTTGGTTTTGGTGCATGCCTGTGTCTGTGTCCATGTGACGATGTAAATGTTCTAGGTAGTCCTGGTGCAGGTGCTTCTCTTGGAGGGTTTGGTGGTATATAAGTTCCACCAGCTGGCACATATGTTCCATCTGCAGCATAATGTCCTACCTGACTTTTCGTTTTTAAGAAAGCATTTACTAGGTCTGTTTTGGTCTGTTGTAACTCTTTTTCTTGACTTTTCACAACAGTTGCTCTAACGGCGTCATAGGCACTTTGAACTGCCTGTCTCGTTGCTGCATCTGTTATTTTCGTCATATTTTGTGCTACTTCTCTTAACTCGTTGTCGAAACCTTCAGACTTCAGTTTCTTTCCAGATGAGAAGTCGTTCACTAGTTTCACCTTACTATGAAGAGCTTCGAAGGCGTTCTTAAAGTCAGCATTCATTAAAGCTTCATTTGAACTGTCTTCATCCGCTTGTATTTTTGTCCTTATTGACCCTATAAGTTGGGCTGCTTTAGCGTTGGCTTGGGCATCTAACCAGTCATTATTAGCTTTTATATATTCTGCGCTTTTCATTGCCTTTTGCATGGCTGCGTCGTTATTTTTACTTTCTGTGCTAAGTTTTCATACTGTACGGTTTGGTTTTGCAACTGTAAAAGTTTTTCTGCCTTTACATTTGCTTCAACTTCTTTTTTATACTCATCGCTATCCATATATGTCTTCAGGGCTTTTTGTTTTATCTCTTCATCTTTCAGTATTTTATATTGAGTAGTATGGTTTTTCAAATTTATAACATCTTGTTCCATTTTTGCTACTTCTGCTGCTTTTTCTGACACTTTTTTCGCATATTCCTCTGTACTTAGTTCTTTCAGTTGTTCTTCTTTCTTCTTTTTCTCTACGTTTAACTCATTGAGTTTCTTTGTGTGTCTGTCATATTCTAGTTTCTTTTCGTTTTCACTTATTTGCTTCTGTATGTCTATGTTTGACTTTTTGACATCTGTTATTTGATTTTTGAGTGAACTCAAATTCATTTGACTTTGAGGGTTATAGGCTGTTCCGTCTGCAGCTCCACCATAGCCTGCCATTTTCGCTAAAAGTGCCGCTCTTAAACCTCCACTCTGTGCACCAACAACTCGGTTTAAAAGCATAGGGTTGCTTGACATTTGTTGCAACATAGTGGGGTCATTCAGCATTTGTTGTTGCAACTGTTGTTGTGGTGTCAGTCTTACTATTGGATGTTTCAATGCTCTCTTCCTCTTACGTATATTCTTACGTAGCTTACGTGGCATTTTAAGTGAAGTAAAAAACGGTTTTTGACAGATGTTTTATTGTGACTTCTTCGTAAAGACTTTGTTGAGACTTCTTCGTAAAGACTTTGTCAAGACTTCTTCATAAAGACTTTGTAAAGACTTTCTCATGAACTTTCTTGTCAATGTTTTGTAAAGTTCTTCATCGTAAAGACTTTGTAAATGACCCAAAAATATATTTTAGGGTAGAAGGTTAGATATAACCTGTTTTCTAACCTCATTTCTACCCTCTTGAATTTTCATGAATTTTCATGAATTTCTTCGTAAATGTTTTGTTAAGACTTCTTCATCTAATTTCTCATGAACTTTCTTGTCTATGTTTTGTAAAGTTCTTCATCGTAAAGACTTTGTAAAGACTTCTTCGTCTAATTTCTCATGAACTTTCTTGTCTATGTTTTGTAAAGTTCTTCATCGTAAAGACTTTGTTGAGAAAGTTCATGAAAATTCAAGAGGGTAGAAATGAGGTTAGAAAACAGGTTATATCTAACCTTCTACCCTAAAATATATTTTTGCCTGATTTACACTCATTGACGATGAAGTTTTGTAATGTTCTTCATCGTAAAGACTTTGTCAAGAACTTTCTTGTCTATGTTTTGTAAAGACTTCTTCGTAAAGACTTTCTCATGAACTTTGTCAAGAACTTTCTTGTCTATGTTTTGTAAAGACTTCTTCGTAAAGACTTTCTTGTCTATGTTTTGTAAAGACTTTGTAAAGACTTTGTCAAGAACTTTCTTGTCTATGTTTTGTAAAGACTTCTTCGTAAAGACTTTGTAAAGACTTTCTCATGAACTTTCTTGTCTATGTTTTGTAAAGACTTTGTAAAGACTTTGTTGAGAGTTCATCGTAAAGACTTTGTAAAGTTCTTCTTCGTAAAGACTTTGTAAAGACTTCTTCGTAAAGACTTTGTAAAGACTTTGTCAAGAACTTTCTTGTCTATGTTTTGTAAAGACTTCTTCGTAAAGACTTTGTAAAGACTTTCTCATGAACTTTCTTGTCTATGTTTTGTAAAGACTTTGTAAAGACTTTGTTGAGAGTTCATCGTAAAGACTTTGTAAAGTTCTTCTTCGTAAAGACTTTGTTGAGAGTTCCTCATGAACTTTCTTGTCTATGTTTTGTAAAGTTCTTCTTCGTAAAAACTTCATTTATACTAAACATCTTCAGGGCGTAACGCGCCTGGAAGCCCTCCGAATAAAAACTTCATTTATACTCATTCATCCTCAGGGCTAGAAGGCACGAAGTGCCTGGAAGCCCCACTACCTTTTTTTTTTTTTTTTTTTTTTTTTTTTGAATATCATATCAGAAAATGTCGCAAATCTGACATTTACCCGACCAAATAGCAAAAATAATTGAATACTTTTCGCAAAAACTTTAAAAATCGATAAAAATATGAAATATAGATATTAAAGAGACTTTTTATATAATATTCATAAAGATTTTCCAAAAATATGATACCGCAAAATTAAAAAAGTGACGTCTTGAGTGGAGTCAAAGGTCGAAATTGCTAGCTAAATGTTTTTTTAGCGAAATTGCGTATTGTACGTTTTTTCGCAAAACGAAACCCTTATAAAAACAAATATTATATATCAAACTATCAAGAATTTGATTTTTTTTTGCAATTGAAATTGGATCCTAATAAAAATCACATTATGGCTGAGAGTATCCAATCTCAACCGATACAAATATTAATGCTTTCTGCCTAATAGCGAAGTCATATTAATCAACACAAATTTTTGTTTCAGAATGTAAATTCTCAAGGAAAACATCCGATGTGAATGTAAATCATTGGCTCGAGGATTGATTTGGTATTAAAAAAAAAGATATTTGATGATTAATAAAAATATTCAAAAAGAAGATTTAGTTCTTCTTGGCAACTGGCTTACGAGCAACACGCTTCTTGACAATTTGGACCATCTGGTGCTGGTTGCCTTCCATAGCAACACCAGCGTATGTGCGTGTGGCCTTCTTGCGTTGGGCGCGCTTCTCTGTAGCAGCTGTATCAGCGACTGACTTCTTGTGATCGTGGCGGTAGTGCTCTGTCCAGGCGATCTTACGTGGGTTGCGCTTGCGTTCCCACATGCGGAAAGCCTTGCGGGATTCGAAGGCCATAAGGTGCTTGTCTTCACGGATGTGAACGCGGCCGTGGCCAGCGTGGAAGATGTGTCCGGAGAAGCCGCAGATCTCGGTCTTTGTGCTCATCGATCGAAAAGGCCATACAATTGAGAGGTCTGTTTGGACTTTCCTCTGCTTTTATTTTTTTATAAGAATCGTTTAGTTATGGTATTTACATAATGAATAAACATAATTTAATTCATTTATTAGAAAAATAAATATAACTTCCTTTCAATAGTGGAAATAGTCGCCTTACCAGATGAACACATTACAATCTAAGATCTGTTCAATCTATTTGTTGTATTCTGGTGGAATGAAAATGAAGTTTTAATCATTCAATACAAAATCCATAGAACCCTCTTGGATTTAAGATCATTTGATTTAGCACATGATATTTCTTGGCCATAACAACACGCTTTTGATTCCATCTGATCATTTATTGAATGAACGATAGCTCTTATTTGATCAAATAACCTTAAAATTATTTTATTGCTTTCTTTAAAACAAATATATGTCATGAGGTTTTATTAAGATTTCGAATTTTTCTCGATGAATTTATTGATTCATTTATGACATCAAAGTTGCAGAAGCTCAATGAAGGTGCAAAAGAACTTTGGAAAACTACTATAGGTAGTAGAAAAGCAGTTGAGTATGCCCAGATTACTGCATATCTGCTGACAAATCCAGCAAAATTAACTTTTAAAATTTTCTTTCATTTAATACTAGATTCTTTACACCCACGCCCACAATGCGAAAAAGCAGAGTTCACTGAAGATCAACTCAAAGAATTTCTTGATTACGCGATTCTTTCAAAAGAAGTTTATAATGAACCCGCAAAAAGAACCATACCAAAAGAAATTAATCATATAATATTTGAAGATCCAAACTCGAATATTGATAAGACACCATATTTTATTGTTAATAGCGAAGAACGAAATAAAATCATCCTTGCAGTACGTGGATCATATACATTTGGTGATTTCTTCACAGATGTTAAGGCTAGTGCTATAAATGTAGATGGAATTCTCATGCATAATGGCGTTTTTTCAGCAGCCAACGGAATATTTGTACGAAGTTCTGAACATCTTGTAAATCTATCTAAAGAGAATAATGGTAGGCAAATTGTTATTACCGGGCACTCACTTGGTGCAGCAGTTGCCTCTGTTCTTGCCATCCTTATGAAAAAACATTATCCAGATCTAAATATCAAGGCTGTATGCTTTTCACCAGTACCATGTGTTAGTAGTGAAGTCATTCCTGATTCATATAACTACATTACATCGTTTGTTGTCAGTGACGATCCAGTTCCATTTTTATCTCTTCATAACACAGCCCAAGTTCCAGAGACAGAACTCCCAGAAATTATTCGTAAATTCGTAGAAGACTGTATTACGCGTGATATTTCAGATCCACTTCCTCTTCCAGAAGATTTAGACATGTTTTCGAATCCTTTCGAACAACCTTCTCCGTCAATGGATAAAATTATTGAGGATTTGAAGAAGATCTCAATGAGAACAACAGCTTTGTATCCTCCAGGAAGAATGTATAGATTCCTTTTGACAGGTTCTACGTTCAAGAGAATTTCGGCAGAAAAAATTGATGATAATATCGAATATTTCGGTGTATTTAGAAAAGGAGTGAATGAAGAAGATCACGCAATGATAATTTATCATGACAGCGTGGCTGAGTTACTTCAAATGCTCGAAAATGATAAAAAATAGATTCCTGTTTATTTTTAGCACTTAAAAGTAAAATTATAATTTGCCAATGCTTAATTAAATGTTATATACTCTATATATATATTAAGATTGAACACAAATTGAATCACATTTCGGAACATGACTGATATTTAGAAAAATACAATTCGTAAAGTATCTCCAAACTGAATTTTAGAGTTGGAGAAGATTCTTATCCAAACAGGATCCTTAACAATGAAAATGTTTTTAATTCTTATGTTCTTCTAATGGTTTATAGTCTTGTTGGGAAGTAAATCTTTGTAAAACATATTCTAAGTTAATATGGTATCATGTTTTCATAACATTACTCTTTGAATTTGATTATTTTAGATTAAATATAATGAAGATTAAATAAAATATTCCAATAAATGAAGCTTGTAAAATTTATTGAGTTGATGCTGTGATTTATTTTCTTTGTCTTTTCAGCTTTTAATGAAGAAAATTAAAATCGAATAACAAAATTTCCAAAACAATATTATAATCAAACATTATTTCATAAATTTATTTTAGATTTATCCTCATATTATCGATTTTGAAAAATATTTGGAAATATAACAATGCTCCATATTCAAACGGAAGCTCATTGGCTGGTATTCGTTGATAATGTCGAGCTTATTTACTCTTTTTAAATCAAAATCATCATTCAAACTACTCAATTCTTAACTAAATCTGCACATTTTGGGTCCTCATACGAAATTAAAATATAACCTTTAGAACATCTTATCATTTTCAATTGCGCGACAGAGTTGTAATGCAAGATTGTATCATGATTGCATAAATTACTAAATTATTACCATCTACACTAAAATATACAAAGAATTTTAACCAAATCCTCTTTCATATATAAGTATTACTTAAATCATGTGAATCATTAAAATATTTTGATAATTCTTTGATATATCTATAACAACTCTGATGCTTACAAAAAGGTCATTTACAATTTTAATGTTTCAGAAAGTTCGATTAAATCTTGATAACAACCTTCATCGTTATTGGAAAAGATCAAGAATACCAAATATCCTTCTAGAGATAACTCTGATTTAAGTATAAATTATGGCCTCACCCATAACCATAAAATTATTTATTGTTAATATGACAGATAAAACAACATAAATTCAACATAACGAATAATATAATAATATACTCTACTCATTCTGAAGATAAGTATTAATATAAATCTAAAAAAAATAAACAAAAACTCGTAAATTTGATCGAAATTGTATTTTAGCAATTTTTTTTAAATACAAGACAGAAATATAAAATCTCAACTTACTCAAGCATTGCAGCTCTTTCTTCGTTTGCTTCTGAGTAGCTGTATTCTTCATCATGAGAATGCTTTGGTTTTGCGCAGAAGAAGTTAACGAAAACGATATAGCCGATGAAAGCAACAAGAACGACAATGCAAGTGTAGAGTAAAGTGTGGAATACGTTTGTTTCATCCTTTCCCTTTTGAGCTGTGCTATCTTGGGCAGCTTCAGCGGTCTGTGTTGCCTTGTTAGATCCACTTCCGATTGCAGTTGGAACATAAGTTCTCTTAGCAAAGATTTTTCCGGTTGCGTAAAATGCAAGGTCGTTTGTTGTTGGATCATTAGTGACTGTGTTTTGGGTGAAAACAACAGAACCGTAGGTGGATGTATCATCGAGGCGGCATGAAATTACGGTGATCTTTGAATTGGAACCCTTTGTTTGGAACATATTGCACTTAGTTAGGACATTCTTGAAGAATGAGCATGATCTGAAGTCAAGGGATTTGGAATTCTCGACATAAACAAGACCATATGAATTGGCATAGTTGGAGAAAATATTGCACATTGTGAAGAGAGCATTGTTGCAGTTAAGAAGGTAAATGACACCACATGGGCTTACATTATTTTCAAATGTACTGTAAGAAACCTTGAAAGACTTTTGTGTTTCGAAATAAATGTTACCGTAGGCATAGGACTTGGTTTTGCCGTTAAGAGCTGAACATGAAGAAATGTTAATGCTTGTAACAGTTGGGAAACCTTGGAGATTAAGTTGGCGGCTACCTGTTGCGCATTGGTAAGCACTTAAATAGGAAAGTGTGTAAGGAATATCAACAGATGTTTCAACATAACCAATAACAGAATCTTGGGCAGCACCAATTGTTGATTTGTAAATTGCATTTCTATAAAAATATGGTTTGAATGTTCCGCTAAGAGCGAATGAACTTCCACGGTTTCCGATACATGATTCGAAATAGTTGGTAGTAATGTTTGCCCAGCTTCCTTCGGATGTACCGTAGAGAGTAATTGGACCTGGACCTGATGCTGAGCCAACTTTGATGAATTGGCACTTATTTATAACAATATCTTGAGACATAGCAATGTTGAGTGCAGCCGATTGTGGGCCAGTGTAATTCTCACTGGCAATATTGTATATAAGGGTGAAGAACATCAGTAATACAATTGAATGAGCTTATTTTTTTGAGAAGAACATAGAAATTATATGATTCACTTTTGAGTCATAGTTAAGGAAAGACCGTAATCTCACATCTTCATTTAAACTAGTTTATTAAGTATTGTATGAGATAAAAACCAATAATATATTCTGAAAAAGGAAAACCATATATGACGCAAATTTGCGTCATAGTTGGTAATAAGGATAAGTTATTATTTAGAACAGGATAAAAGAAATAAATAACTATTCGATAATCATTTCATATTTCCATGTATCGTTTGAATATTTTTTTTTAAATCGAAAGTTGAAATTTATTGGGGAGAAGCTTCCTAAACTTTTTAATCCCATAAATATGGTCATTATCTGGAATAAAGAGTTAAGCGTCATATGTCACTTTTTGTACTAAGGAAACATCGACTTTATGCGTTATGACTTTTCGATGAGGAAACAAGTGTTCACGTATTATAAACTTCCTTATTCCAATAAACCGGCCCTAAACATAATTAATTTTAAGCATTATAATGGTCTCTTTTCTATGATAACCAAATCAATTTGGTTATCATAGAAAAGCACCAAAAACTGGAATAGGAATCGGCAATATGGAATTATGAAACAACTAGGATAAAATGGATATGGGACATTCATGAATGCATTCACTTTTTTCAAGACTTTTTAATGAATTTCAAATTCCTCAGATTATTTTCAATAGATTTTCCGTACCATATCATTTTTATTAGACAAAGCTATCTTTTCGATGAAATTTTTGCAAAAATACTCTGTTTTGAAAAAGATTTATGTAAATTTTTTGATAAAAGTGTCTTGAATGATTATCATTGATAATACCATTCCAATTGAATGCTGTTTTCGGCTGCTTTTATAAAACTTTGATCATATTGTACTCATAATTTTTTTTTGTATTTTGGTCAAAAACTAAGCTAACATCAGCTGTATATTTGCATAAGCCATTAATAAGCTTTGGTATAGGTTATACTGAGTTTAGACGATCATACAATTTAGACTTTTTTCATTTAATTTAGTCTAACAAAGAGTGATTATCTTACTATTTGATTCATAAATATATAGGAAATAATAGTTTTATACCTTAATATGATAAAATTTTATAAAATTTTCTCTTCTCCTTTGGCAATATTAGTCATTGGGGAGAAGCTTCCTAAACTTTTTAATCCCATAAATATGGTCATTATCTGGAATAAAGAGTTAAGCGTCATATGTCACTTTTTGTACTAAGGAAACATCGACTTTATGCGTTATGACTTTTCGATGAGGAAACAAGTGTTCACGTATTATAAACTTCCTTATTCCAATAAACCGGCCCTAAACATAATTAATTTTAAGCATTATAATGGTCTCTTTTCTATGATAACCAAATCAATTTGGTTATCATAGAAAAGCACCAAAAACTGGAATAGGAATAGCCGCGTTAAAACAGGAATAGGCAATATGGAAACAAGGGTAGACTCAAACTCATACTCAAGGCAAGACTGATACAAGAATTACAACAAAATTTTACAAAATCTATTATTTATCTCAATTTAATGGCAGGTTTTAGTACCCGAAGAGTTTGCATTCTACTTTTTGCTCTTATTTTACAAAAATATTCTAAAAATTTGTAACTTCTTTTATAATATAATACTTTTTTTCAAATTTACTTTCCAAACGTTAATGTCTTGTTACGGCTATATCTTTGTACGGGGAAATAAAGAAATTTTATTATGCTATTATATTATTTTTTTAAATCAATATCTAATCAATAGTAAGTTAGATTTTTTATTAAAAGAGCAAATAAAGATACGATCGAGCAATAGTTTATTTTAAATCTCAATATTATAAAATAAATGTTCAAAATTTTTAAGTAATAATACTAAATACTTAAATAAGTAAAAGCACACAAGAAAAATATTCACTAACTTAAGAAAAAATCATATATTTAGAGAATTATCCCTTATAATAAGATTAAAAAAAATTAAACTGTTTTCAATCATCATCATCACCAGCTCCATAGAACTTGTGTTTGCGATAGATGACACATTTTGCAAGCCATTTGACACCACCAAGATATGACCACAAATCGCTGCCAACATCTCCACCTTGAAGACCTTTGATCAAACCATCAGGAACAATGTAAGTAATTTCATCGTCGAGCATGAACCAAACTCTTCCTTTGTTGACGAAGGCAACGAAATGACCTTGATGATAAGCAATAATGGAATGTATCTTAAATACATACGTTCCATCACTGAGTTGAGTTTTGTAGTTCTTCTTGATCTCAAATTTGTCAAAGAAGACATTTGGATCAGACCAATTCCTCTGAACGTCGACCCAGAGGAATGTTGAGATTTCATTGATATGAGAATCATCTGTGCACATTTGTTTAATTCCTTGATCAATACCTGCTGCACCAAGAGGAATGTGAAGCGAAACCGAATAGAAGCTTTCATCAGGAGTCTCAGTTTGATATTGGAATGTAACGGCAATATCTGGTTTGTTTGCTGATTCCGTAACATCATGTACAATCTTTTGAAATGTGTCATCGGCATCTTGCTGCTGGAAGTATTGCTTGCCGAGTGTTGTGATGAATTGTGAGCATGAAATTGTGTATTCCTTGTGGCGGTAGTGCAACATCTGATCATAAATTTCGGCAAGTGCTTTCACTGGCGTATATTCGACATCTCCCAAATGCTCCATTACATCTTTTCTGAAAGTATTTACGTAGAACAAAACTTGCAAAACGGCATTGACATGGCAGGTAGCTCCCTCATTATGTAATCCTGGAATTGACATTTTTGTTTCGATGTTGTAGATTGCATTTTGTGTTCTTTTAACAAGTATCTTATCAATCTTTTCATATCCAGCTAGTGGAGATGGAATCTTCATTGGAGTTTCTGGAGTTTGGAGATAAAGATCTTTTGGAACACATCTTGGCTTTGGCATTGGGCTTCCTGAACCATTTGGTTCTGGTGTTGCTGCAGCTTCTTTTTCATCTTTTGGAGTGCAAGGAAAATCGCAGTTATCCTTCTCACTGAGAGGTGTGGAATCGATGTGATAGTTATCTAAAGCAAACAATCCTTGAACAATAAGTGGAAGATTGCCTTTTTCACCACGATATCCTATTGCCAAGACACTCCAATTACTTTTATCGCGTGCAAAGCGGCGTTCGACAATTTGGCGATCATGTGCAATCGCATTATTGCGTTTTGTAACTTCTTCGTCATCACCTCTTTGCATAATGACGGCTGTTGGATGGTATTTCTGAATACCGATGTAACCTCTATCTGCAAGAAGTCCTAATGCAACAGATTCAACTCCACGTTGGACATGTAAAAAATCTGAAGCTCCTGATAAATCAAATACTTTCTTATCGTGAACTGAAGCTAAAAAACTTGTATTCATGTGAATTACCTGTCCTAAAGGATTAACAAGAACTTGAACCTTCATACCATTGCAATGGTTTTTAGCATCCCATGAACTTTTACGCTCAGCAAGATCAAGAGGAACGGTAAAAGGAATAGTAGAGCTATCAACTGCAGCAACACATGTTGGAAAGTTATCGAACTCCTTGTCACAGGGAGAATATTGTTTTGGAATGAATTCAGCAATGAAAATTGGGAACATCCTGTTTGTTGTTTTGTTAATGATTTTGCTGAGGTAACTCTGTTTCAAACTAACAATTCCTGACATTTTTTGCAATGGAAGATAAGTGCAATAGTAAGTTAATGTTAGGAATAACGCATCTAATGGATCACAACCGTTTTTCCGACCGCGTCTGGATGAAAACTCATGCTCGCGAACAACATCAACTAAATACAAGAGTTGATCCAAAGAAAAGTTACAAAGGTCTTTGACATTTAAGATTGGGTGTGCCTCAAGGAATTTTTGTAAGCTAAACTTTCTGACAACTTTAAATTCTTCGGCATTAGCTGGTGCTTGATTTTCATCTTCACTTGCGGGCTCTGATTCATCAAGATAAGCTAAGTGCATTTGCATTCTCACGATTTCCTTGGATCGGGTTTTGGACTTCTGGATATCATCCAAGAACTCGGAATCATCCTTGTACTCCATTAATGAAAGTGATATGAACATTTCTTCTAAGAGTTTTCATTCAATTCATGTTTTTAAGAAGTTAGTGAATTAATTTTCATATCTCAGAAATTCGAAAAATAATTGTTTAAGGATACCCTTACATTGCGTAGTTAGAAAGAGAATATGATATTGTCATGATTGCTAAAGTTTTAGGCTCCAGAAATGAATATACATCAAACTGAAACAATTGATAAATTGAATGAACTTTTGAGAGGTTCTCAAATAAAAAAAATTATCTAATTTTTTACAATATTACTATTATTTTATCCACATATGTATATATAGTAATTTGAGAAAACTTTTAGGAAAAAATAAGTTTAATAAAAATCTGAATTTTACTTGTTGTGGGATTGTTATTAATTGACACTCCAGACGTATTACTAATAGTTATGCGTATGCAATTAAAGTATTTCTGATGGACAAAATGTGAGATTTATATCAGATAATTCATTTCTACTATTAAGTTATTCATTTATGAGTTTGCACTTATTCGCACTAAATAAATAACTATTAAAAATTGTTTTAATTAATTGACACCATATAATAGAGTGAATTTTGTTTGATCAAACAACAATAGATGATAGATATAAAGCCAAGAAACTTGCTATTAATATGCTCTACTTGCTATTTCAATGTAAGTATGATATTTTCTAAATGTTTCGTTCAGATAACTTAGATATATTAGTCAAAATTTGAAATTTTAATAGCACATATATTAAAAATAATTATTATTCATAAAAGATTAATGAAATAGTAAAAAAAAATCAATCAAATTATAAAAATACAACATTTAGAAGAATTCTTATTATCCTTCAAAAAGTCAGTATTTCTGCTGTAATTTTCTACAACATTGTAGTTATTGCACTTTGTCTATGGATTTGTATATATGTTATATA